ATGACAAACAAGTGAAGTAATATGAATATTTTCTCTACTACATCTAATACATAAATACACAGAGGATACTCTACTAACACAGACCTGAGTGCCACTGTTTTTAATCTCTGCGAGCAGATCGAACCCGTGGCGAATAGTTACTGCTGGCTGTCCAGACAGAAGACCAACTCTCATCAGTGCCAAGCGGATCCTCGTCAGCCAGTCCTGGCACGTCTGACGGTTCGTGTAGAAGAAAGTCCGAATTCCCTGAGAAGCGGCGAAAAAGGCACGCGTGATCATTTATACGAGCGACTGATTATTAATCAATCAATTGTCAATCGATCCAGGACACTAAATCCCAGATAGAAAATAGTTGTTTCACTTTTATTATGTGACATTATAGAGCAGGCTGTATGTAAGGTTTAGCAGATTCAATCACTCCCTGGAGACAAAAGATTAAAAACGCCCTTCATACATTTTGTTTGCACTTATAAATTACTGACAAACTGTGACTCCGTATCTTTTTCCTTTATCACAAAATTCAAGGACACTTGTAGTAATGATAAAACTCTGAGGCTCTATCATCTCCTTTAGTGTCAAAATGTTAAACTATTTAACTTTCGAGCCCCAGTGCAGCGGAGTTTGTCTTTGCGCACCTTTGGTGGAGCCGTCAGAGCATTAGCACAGCCCTCGTAGGCGTTGTACATGAGCTTCTCCAGGTTCTCCAGGTACTGAAGCAGCAAAGTGAGGCGGAGCTGATTTAAGTGGTGACCATCACTGTCACTTCCACTGCCCGCCCAAGCTCCAACATCCTGCTCGGGGTTGAGACTCTGTGCAGCCAAGCTCCGGATCATACCTGCAACAAAGCAGACCAGTTTTATTTCTTTACCAGCAGCATCTGTACGTATCTGAGAAACCTCTTCTGGAGGTTACATGAACACATGAACTCTTCACTTTACCTTCAATGGTCTGGAAGGTGTCCTGAGCTCGACCCAAAGGTGTTCGGAGTTTGGATAACACAGTGAACTGTGCAGCCTCCCACACTGCCCACTGCCATAGCAACACCTCTGTTTTCAGCAGTGCCCGTGTCACCACGTCTGGCTTGCTACCATCAGTACTTCCACGGCCATCCTGTTTCTCAAGGCGTTGGCAGCTGTAGTACAGGCGCTCCAGCCAGGAGTCCTTGCTGTAGATACAGGATATGACCACCTTTATTCATCACAAGTACTATCATCCATAAAACCAAGCGTGCATCACAGATTTCCCTTACATTACACAGACCTGACATGAATCTCTCACTATAGTCGACTCAAAATCGTCATGATACACACATCTGTGTAAACTAGGGCTGCCACGATTAGTCGACTA